GACTCGCTTTAAAAAAAACAAAAAAATAAAAAAAAAAAAAAGAGAGAGAGAGAGAAATGAAACAAGAATGGAAAAAAAAAATTGCCTGGTAGCAAAAAAAAAAAAAAAAAAAAAAAAACACCAAACAAAGTAGAAAACTTTCTGTGAAATGAAAAATAAAATAAAATTTACTTAAGGAAACCGTGGGGATTAAAAATACACACCTAGCAAAACCCCTTGTCTGCACTGGGAGGGGGGAAGGCACCCAGGTTTTTAGCCCACTTCCGGAACTCCCCGAGCTCCCTCCACTCCCCCCTACCCCTTCTAAAAGAGCAATCCGGAGGAGTGGGTTCCCCCACGCAGCACCGTGGGGATCCCGCTGGTCGCCCCTGTGGAGCGCACTTCCAGAGCTCTGGAAGTTTAAACTTACCCCACCCTGCCCTCTTTACGCACCCCCCCTCGCTAAATCTGATGCCATCGATCTGTCGGCCTCCGGGAGGAGAAACCGCCTGCGATAGACTGTTATATATTATATATATTTTTCTTTTTTTAGTTTGGTTCTTTTTTTTTTTAAATTTGGTTTTCTTTGGGTTTTTTTACTGTGAGGGGGAGAGAGGAGAAGGGCTCTCGAGGTCGCAGTGACGGGGCTGACTATTTTACTCAACAGATTTGGAAACGACTCCCTGGGGAATCTTACATTGACAAGACCTGAGACCCTGTGCAGGCGTTAGAATTGAGCGCATGCTGTTCCGTCTGGTGTTGTAGCCATCTCGAGAACAAGACAAACGAAAAAAACAAAAAAATAAATTAAAAAATTAAAATGTCGGTTTTGTGCCTTATGTCTCTGGCTGTTGAACCAGTCTGGACGCCTCCGACGAGGAGCAGGACTGCCCCCGGCTGCTGCCCTGGTTCCGAAATCCCGGTAACCGTAGGATCTGTCCGCGTGCTTCAACGGGCAGCAAGACCCCGTTACCCTTAAAGGGTAGTACCAGCGAAGGCGGATTGTAGTAACCGGTTGGAAGGGACTGTGCCAAGTGCCGTGATATTTAATTTTCAGTGCTTTAGTCACAAGACTCAATCGCAGTTTAACCCTCTTCTCCAACCACCTTGGCTCCTGCTACTTGAGGAAGAGAATTCGCTTCTCCCTTGCACGCTGATTGGCACAGTAGCATTCACTAACCTGGCTGTATTGCTGTGCTCTCACTGTAATCCTAGGTCGTACCTTTTGAAATTACCCTACAGCCTCCCTACTTCGCACTAATGCAGGCCAGGTCTGGTGGGAATTGCTGGATTTTATGACTTAATAAGTAAACGACCAAAGAGGATCGGAGTCAAGGTGCCTTTTTTTTTTTATTGCACTGCAGCAAGCTTCTGAGCAGGGTGATTGAGCGTGACCGCCATTTCATTGCCTTCTGGTGTCCGGTGTGTAAAAGCAGCGTACCTTCAAGGCCCCCACGCTGTACCATCCGGCTAGTCAAAGCGAGCCGCGGTGTGAGACTCATAAGCACCAGGTGAGCTTCCCATGCTGCGTATTGGTGAGCAAGGTTCTCTCCTGCAGCCAGAGATCTAGTTAACAATACAGCAGCCTGGTAAAGGTTTATATGCTAGGCCATCGTGGCTGAATGAGCCACAATTAAATACTACCCAAGCAGCAAATCTATAGCTCTTCTCCTTGACACTTGCCTGCAGGGCCATATGGCTGGAACTGCCCTGCCCTGCCCTGCCCAGGGCTAAAAGGCAGTGAACGTGCCTGGCTTAGGGCTTTCATCTTTTGGAATCGTAGGGTCTGTGCTCGGAGGTGCTGGTGAGTAGTTCCCTCAGCTGGCCAGCACAGGGCCCATGTGCACTGAACATCAACTGTCATCCACCCAGGGTGTTTGGCAGCGCCAGCTGGTGCTCATTTGCCACTGACTTTGCTAGGCTCAGGCTTCGTAGCATTTAATTTCAGAAAGGGGAACGACGCAAAAATGAGGTTAAACAGAAATTAAAAGGTCCAGCGCCGAAAGTGAAATCCCTGCAAGCTGCATGGAAATTTGAAAGGCACTGTAATAGAGGCTCAATTTAAATGTTTTCCCCAAATTGAAAAACAGTGAGAGAACCACAGAAGAGCCACCATGGCTAAACAACAAAGTAAAAGAAGCAGTGAGAGGCAAAAGGCGTCCTTTAAAAAGTGGAAGTTAAATCCTAGTAAGGAAAATAGGAGCATAAACTCTGGCAAGTGAAGGGTAAAAATAGAATTAGGAAGGCCAAAAAAGAATTTGAAGAACAGCTAGCCAAAGACTCCAAAAGTAATAGCAAAAAATTTTAAGTCTATCAGAAGCAGGAAGCCTACAAACCAACTTGGGGGGGGGGGGGTCACTGGCCCATCAAGATGCTAAAGGAGCACTCAAGGCTGATGAGGCCATTGCAGAGAAACTAAATGAATTCTCTGCATTGGTCTTCAGGGCTGAGGATGTGAGGGAGATTCCCAAACCTGAGCCATTCTTTTTAGGTGACAGATGTGAGGAACTGTCCCAGACTGAGGTGTCAATAGAGGAGGTTTTGGAACAAACTGATAAACTAAACAGTAAAGTTACCAGGACCAGATAGTATCACCCAAGAGTTCTGAAGGAACTCAAATGTGACACTGCAGAACTACTAACTGTCGCCTGTAACCGATCATGTAAATCAGCTTCTGCACCAGATGACTGGAGGACAGCTAATGTGAGGCCAATTTTTAAAAAAGGGCAGTCAAAAAAAAAAAAAAGCCAACAGAATCATCAAGAAAGGGATAGATAAGACAGAAAATAGCACGTTGCCTCTCTACAAATCCATGGTTCGCCCACAGCTTGAATCCTGCATGCAGATGTGGTCTCCCCATCTCTAAAAAGATATATTGGAATTGGAAAAGGTTCAGAAAAGGGCAACAAAAATGATTAGGGGCATGGAACAGCTTCCGTATGAGGAGGGATTAATAAGACTGGGACTTTTCAGCTTGGTAAAGAGACGACTGAGCGGAGATATGATTGAGGTCTATAAAATCATGACTGGTGTGGTGAAAGTAAATAAGGGAGTGTTATTTACTCTTCAAACACAAGAACCAGGGGTCACCAAATGAAGTTAATAGGCAGCAGGTTTAAATCAAACAAGGAAGTATTTCTTCACACAACACAGTCAACCTGTGGAACTCCTTGCCAGAGGATGTTGTGAAGACCAAAACTAATGGGGTTCAAAAAAGAACTAGCTAAATTCATGGAGGATAGGGCCATCAATGGCTATTAGCCAGAATGGACAGGGATGGCGTCACTAGCCTCTGTTTGCCAGGAGCTGGGAATTGGTGACAGGGGATGGATCACTTGCTGATTCTCTGTTCTGTTCATTCCCTCTGGGGCACCTGGCATTGGCCACTGTTGGAAGACAGGATACTGGGCTAGATGGACCTTTGGTCTGACCCAGTATGGCCGTTGTTATGTTTGCCCATCTTCCTGCCCTCCATCAGCCAAGGAAAGGTAACCAGACCCTCTGCACTTACACCTGCCTTGACCAAGTCTCTAGGTGGTGGGATAAGGGGGGGTAATTGTTGCAGAGCACAGGGCCAGGGTACATAAATGGCCGACACTCTGTCTCCTGGCACCTGATGGCCTGGCCCTTCCCCCCTGCAAGGTGAGAGCTAAAGGCTGGGAGAACAAAGGAATCTGGTGCCCTCCTGGCCCGGGAAAGGGACAAAGCCCAGAGGAGGAGGGGCTGGAGGGGGAGGAGGAGTGAAGTGCAGACGTGGTTGTCTGGCTCACTGCCCCCCAAAATGGACCCAGCTGAGGGGGCCCTGTTCTCTGCACCTACAAGCTCTGTTAGACCACGTTCCTGTCGTCAAATAAAGCTTCTGTTTTACTGGCTGGCTGAGAGTCCCGTCTGACTGTGGAGTTGGGGGGCAGGACCCTCTGCCCCCCCCCAGAACCCCACCTGGGCAGACTCGCTGGGGGAAGCGCAGGGAGGGCAGAGGATGCTGAATGCTCCAAGGTCAGACCCAGGAAGGTGGAAGCCGGGTGAGCTGTGTGTCCTGCAGACAGGCTGCTCCCCCAGAGTCCTGCCTGGCTTCATAGGGAGCAGGCCCAGAGCATCACTCGGGGACACCAGGACTGTCCGACCCCAGGTTTGTGTACCAGGCACCCTGCTGTCTAGCTGCCAACACAGGCATGGGCTGGCTGGTCGGCCCGTGTCCTGCTCCGCTGGGGGTTTGGTACGTAGGGACACGTGCTTTGCATGATGCTCTACCCTGAGGCAAACGGCTTAAAACGTCTCCACAGGCGCTCGGCCGCAGCCAGAGCAGTCGGGGTCTGCGGAAACCCCGCCGAGCCCAGCGTCCAAGCAGGGGCCTGTCTCAAAGGAAGGGCTGTTGCCTGGCCTCTAAAACTGACCAGGCCAAAGCCGCGGGGAAGGGAACGTAGACACCGCTGTGCCTGCTGGGGCTTTTTCAGCCCCACTTGTTCAGTCAGGCAGCCGGTGCCGCAGCCGTGACGAACTCGGGGGGAAGCGCCCCGCTGCTGAGGAGGTTACGGCCCAGCAGTTACAAATGGGAACGAGGGGGCGCAGCTGCCAAGTCATTAACGCTTCAGACTCCTGGCTGCAACTAACCCGGCTTCGGCTCCCTGGTGGCCTGGCTAGGCTGGGGAGCAGCAGGGCCCCGCCCCCAGCCACCGTGCTGGAGCCCGAACCGGGGCGGTTTGGTCAGTTTCCGACGTGCACACGGCTGCAGGCAGTCGGCTGGGCCTGCACGCGCGCCCTGGGTGCTGAGGCGGGCAGAGAATCCGCGGGTCAAAGGCTGCCCGTGGTCCCGGCCGGCCAAGCCCCCGGCGGGCCCTTAGGCCTGGGCTTGCTACGCTCTAGCTCCTCTCCCCCTGAGGGGGGGCGCGTTTCGGTGAGTGCAGGAGCTCTGGGCTGGGGGGGCTCAGCGTGTGCTTTTCCCTACGCTGAACGCTCATCGGGCCGGCTCCCTTCCTGTCCTCTCCCCCGGCCCCCATCAGAAGAAGCCTCACACACGCGCGCACGCAGGCAAGTGGTTGCTTTTATTAACAGCTGAGCACTTCCCTTGCCGCATCTCTGTGCCAGGCCAGCTCCCGGGGCCGTGACGCCAGCTCCCGGACACTGTGAATGCAGCATCACCTCTGGCTCAGCCGCGCCCGCGGGCTGGATCAGGCCCAACGGCCGGGCCTGTCCTTTCAGCAGGCCCCAGCACCTGCTGCCCACCCCCCAGGCAGTTCCCATAAATGCCCAGGGCTGTGGGTCTAACTCAGTCTCTTTCCTCCATGGCAGGCATTGCCTGGCCCTGCAGTGCTCTGGCAAGGTGGGTCCTGGCCCGCAGCCTAGCGTATTCCCAGCAGGCGATGGTGTGGGCCGGCCTCCACCCATCCCATGCAGGAAGAGCCCCCTCCCCCCGGCCCCTTTGGGGGCCACAGCTTGTAGCTGGGAGGTTGGGGGGCAGCCTGCGCTGACGGATCCGGCGGAGCATCGCCCTGTAGCTGAAGCAGTGGAGATCAGTTTGCCTCGTCTCCCCCTCCTCGGGGCTGGCGTGCACGGCCAGGCTCACACGGGCGCCCCTCAGGAGGGAGGGGAAGCGGGTGAGTGTCTGCGACGTGCCCACGTCCTCACTGCTGCATGCTGCTGGCCTGCATTGCCCAAGGGCCCGGGCCTGGCTCCAGGGTCGAGGCCGGGGGGGCCTGCAGGCTCTGCTGGTTTTGCCAGAGCTGATGCAGCTCCTTGAACTGCTCCACCATCTTGTCTTTCAGGTCCGGATGGGAGATCTGCAGGCGGATGCTGTCCGCCGACCAGGAGAGCTCCCCAGAGAACATCTCCAGCAGGATGCGGGCGGCCACTGGCACGACCTGGGTGGCAGACAAACAGCAGGCCGTAGCTAGCCCGCTCCCCTCTGCGGCCTGCTCACCCCTGCCCCTTCCCAGCCTCAACCCCTTGTCTGCCCCCACTTCCTGGAAGGATCCGGGGCTGAGTTACCCAGCCCACACTCGGGAGTCCCTGCTACAGCCCTGCTCCGAGCACGTTCCCTTCTCTCCGCTAAACCCTGCCGGGTAACAGCCTCCTCTTGCTGCTGCGTCTCCACCCCTCCCAGCAGGCCAGGGCTGCGATTAGAGCTTAGAGCGTAAGCTACATGGGGCAGTGTGAAAATCTCCGAGCTTGGCCCAGGGAGGGGAGGGGCGGAGCGGTCGGCATGACCAGGGGGCCTGCTGAATGAGGGAGCAGCGAGGAATTGGTGACCGAGTGTCCCGTCCAAGTACTGATCGGTCACACCACTCCCAGCCCAAGATGCTCTGGTGACCCCCTGCTCGGGAAGGGTATCGCGCACACGCCTGGCCCTCAACTCCCCCTTCGCAAGCTGCAGGCGTCCCCCAGTCCCAACCACTCGGCCTTCTCTGGGCTGTTGCTGGGGGCCCATGTGGGTCTGCGGGCGCGTCCTCGTTCTAGCCTTGGCCTGTGTGCATGGAGTTCAGTGCAGTCCAGGGGCCCGGGGCGCTGGGCCATCAGGCACCCCAGCTTGGAAGGGCCACAGTTCCATGGCTGGCGTGTCCTGCTGCAGACTGGGAAGGAGCAAGGGCAGAGAGGGCGGAGGGTCCTTAACAGAGCCAAACCAGCAGACAGGACCGCAGCTGGGCCCTAGGCCCTGCTCCCAGGAGCGAGAGCGGGTGGGGGACCCCTTACCTGGACAGTGATAAGTTTCTTCTCCTTCGGCTTCTGGTCCGGCCACTCCTCTCCGAAGCAGAGGAAGATTTCGAAGGGGGGCGGCGTGCTGGTCTGCCCCTTCTGGAACAGGATGAGCCCTAGGGAGCCCCACAGGGAGACACAGCATGAGGGGCGGGGACCCCGTGGCATTTCCAATCCCCGCCGCCGCCCAGCATCTAGCAATCCCCCCCCCCGCCCCGCCCTCCCGCCGTGTGGGAGGGGCCAGGGCCAGAGGAGAGGGGCCCTAGGGGAATGGAAGCCAGAAAAGCTGGGGGCAGAGAAGCCACGTGGGGAGGCCAGGGCCGGGGCGCCAGGATGCGGAGGGCAGGGCTGGTCCCCAGCCCCTCTGGCTCACCGTTGAGGAAGCTCTCCAGGCTGAAGAGTTTGATCTTCCTCTCGCGCTCGATGGGGTTGGGGCCGGCCCGCTCGCCGGCGCAGGGCCCCGTCCAGAAGACCTTACACTGACACAGCCGGACGGCGTAGATGTCCTGTCCCTGCAGCTCCAGGATCAGGCCCCGGTCCATGGCGTCCAGCAGCTGGTGGGTGTAGAAGCGCTGCTTCTCGTGGGGGATGTGCTCGGTGCTGGGGAAGCGCACCTGCTCCAGCGTCACGGGCCCGAACAGCGCCACCTGCTCGTGCGTGGGCTCCAGGCTGCTGTGGAACAGCCGGCACCCGTGGGGGTTGCTGACGGTCAGGGAGCTGGCCTGCCGGCCGCGGTAGTGGAACTTGATCTCCAGGTCGGTCACTGGCCGCGGGAAGAGCGAGACAAGCCCATTAGCCGGGGCAATCGGGGGGGCCCTGATAACCCTGTGCTACCGTCACACCGCTACCTCCCCTCAGCCTCTCCCCCGGCCTGGTCACGGCGCTAGGTGCTGTCCGGAGGGAACGGCATGCAGCCCGCGCCCCGGGGAGCTCGCGCCCCAGACTAGAAGGGACAGGGCAAGGAAGCACCGATGGGGAGGGCAGCCCCAGGCAGAGCGGGCGGGCAGGGGGATCTTACATGGCAGCATGTGCGGGCTGATGAGCAGGTCGGGGATGAACTGTTCCATGGGCTGCAGAGACACGTCCGCGGGGGGCAGGTTCTGCAGGCTGCCCGGCCCCCCCAGCGGCATGCTCCCGGTAGGGTTCTGGGCCGGCAGCTCCCCGGCGGTGAAGGCACCGACAGTGGGAGGCGGAGGTGCCGACACGTCCGGGTGGAGGAGTTCCTGGGTGCCCAGCGGGGGGAAGGACCCGTTCCCGCAGGCGCTGGGATACTGGACTTCCTGCTTCGGCCACACGTAGGAGGGGAGCGGCTCCACGCCCTGGCTGCCATCTGCAAGACAGCAAAACACCCTGGCTCAGGATCCCCTCGTCAGCCCAAGCCAGCCGCTGGCATCGCCAGCCATGCCAGCTCCAGCCCACGACACCCAACACCCAGGCCCTGGGGGCGGGCCAGCGGGCCAGGACCCCCTCGGCACACGGCTCCTGCTCTCCAGCAACCCTGGTGCAAGGGCCCTCACCCTAACGGAGAGCAAAGGAGGAAAACAACTGACCCTTCCGGATGGGAGCTGGTCCTTTAGTGCCCCACACGGGAGGGTGGATCGAGGGTAAAAGAGGGGCAGCCCCCAACCTGGAGTGGGATCTTGCTGTGCCAGCCAAGCCCCCAGGGCACTTTGGTAGCTGGGACTGTCTGCTTGGGGGACAGACCCAGCCCGCGACTGGGGAAGAGAGGGACCACCCTGTGTTTCTCCCCACAGCTTTCAGGCTCCCGTTGGAGTCGGGGCGGGGGGCATTGGAGGCTGCTGAGTGCATCACTCTCCTCTGCCCCACCTTCCCTGATCAGCTGCAGGTGGCTCTGGGCACAGAGCAGGGGGAGCTCATGGGGCTGAGCCGGCAGGACCCCACACCAAGTCACAGCCCCTTCTCCTTTCCCTGTGGAGGCGGGGGTCCGGGTGGAGCAGGGGCGGAGGGGGCAGACTCAGGCATGAGGACGGCATAGGGAGAGGGAGGGCCTCAGAGCCCTATGGAATGCAGGGGGGTGCTCAGGGGTGACGAGACTCTGCACCAAGGGGTGCTGGCCCCGGGCAACTGGGCCGCAGTGACCCCGCCAATGGGCCGGGGCAAGGCCGAGAGACGCCCTGGCTGGCGCCCCGGCCCACGAGCTGGATGAGGTCGCCCTGCTCCATCACCATCCCCGGCCTCAGGCCACGCCGGCACCTGGCACCAGCCCCATCGCCTGCCGCAGGGCCTGGGCACTGCCCGAGCTTGCAGGGCACCCGAGGGAGGGAGGGGTTTAACCGGGGAGCAGAGTGGCTTTGTCCCCGGGGCTAAGTAGATGGAGGGAGCAGACCAGCCCTGCAAGTCCTGCTAGCCCCGTCCCCAAGTTGCCAGGCACCCCGGCCGGCCCCCCAGCACTCACCCACTATCGTCAGCGTCGTCATTTTCTGCAGCTGTGAGAGAGACAGGAGGCGCTCGGTTACTGGGGGAGGGCACCCAGGGGCCTGTGACAGACCCAGGGGAGGGGGCAGAGGAGGGGTGGCAACTTTCAAATCACACAAAACCTAACGCCCCTGCCCCGGCCCCGCTCACTCCATCCCTCCCCCCCCCGTCGCTTGCTCTCCCCCACCTTCACAGGGCTGAGAAAGGGGGTTGGGGTGAGGGTTCCCGCTGGGGGTGCGGGCTCTGGGGTGGGGCCAGGGATGAGGGGCTTGGGGTGCAGAAGGGGGCTCAGGCCTGGGGTAGGGTGTTGGGGTGCAGGAGGGGATGCGGGATCCGGGAGGGGGCTCAGAGCGGGGGCAGGAGGGGTTGCAGGCTCTTGGAGGGAGTTTGGGTGAGGGAGGGGGTTCAGGGCTGGGGCAGGGGATTGGGGTGTAGGAGGGGGTGCAGGCTCCAGGAGAGGGCTCGGGGCAGGGGCAGGGGGTTAAGGTGCAGGAGGGGGTGTGGGGTATGGACTCCAGCCAGGGGGCGCTGACCTCAGGCAGCTCCCGGAAGCGGCCGGCATGTCCGGCTCCTTGGCAAAAGTGTGGACAGGTGGGTCTGCGCGCTGCCCACCCCTGCAGGCACCGCCCCCACAGCTCCCATTGGCTGTGGCTCCTGGCCCATGGGAGCTGCAAAGCCGGCCCTCAGGGTGGGGGCAGCGCGTGGAGCCTCCCTGGCCACCCTGTGCCTAGGAGCTGGACATAGCAGCCGCTTCCGGGAGCCACATGGAGCCAGGGCTGGCAGGGAGCCTGCCTTAGCCCCGGAGGACCGCCAGCCGGACTTTTAGCAGCCCGGTCAGCAGTGCTGACCGGAGCTACCAGGGTCCCTTTTCGACTGAAGGTTCCAGTTGGAAACCGGACGCCTGGCAACACTAGGGCATGCCCATGCAGCCGAAGGGATTCCCCCACCCCAGGGCCTTGGCAGCCAGCCCGTGGGCTAGCAGATGCAGCGCTGTTCAGCAGGTGGGGCAAGCGCAGCACTCTGTCCCGGGTTTTCAGGGGACACTCAATGGCAAGCTCTGGCAGCCTGCGAAGTGTGTAATGACTAGTAGCCTTCTGGCCCTATTGCACCCACACTCACGCGCTGGCCAGCTCCACCAACCCCCTCACTCACTCACCTCCTCATCCTCCTCTCCCAGGCAGCAGGTGTGATCCTCCCCGGCCAGCGAGTCTACAATGGAGACACGGGGGCGGTTAGCAAGCCACACGTGGGAGCCATGGGGCCCGTTGGCAGCAGGGGGTGTGTCATGGGGCCTGTTAGTTGGGGGTGAGGCTGGAGTCACAGGGCCTGCTAGCTGGGCGGGATCATGGGGCCTGTTTTCTGGGCCGAGTGAGGGTGTCTGGGGTGCGTCACGGAACCTCTTAGCTGGGTTGCGGGGCGTGGGTCCTGGGTCCTGTTTTTTGGAGGGCCTGGGGGTGTCCAGGGGCCTGTTAGCTGCGTTGCGGGAGGTGGGTCAGAGGGTCTGTTTTCAGGGCGGGTTTGCTGGATGGGCAGTCATGGGAGCTGTTAGCTGGGTGCTGCGAGTGTGTGGGGGTAGAGTTGCTAACTTTCTAGTCACACAAAACCCAACACCCTAGCTCCGCCCCTTCCCCGAGACCCCACCCCCCACTCATTACATTCCCCCTCCCTCAGTGGCTTGTTCTCCCCCACCCTCACTCACTTTCACTGGGCTGAGCCAGGGGATTGGGGTGTGGGAGGGGGTGCAGGCTTTAACTGGGGGTGCAGTCTCCAGGGTGGGGCCAGAAATGAGGGGGTCAGGGTGCGGGAAGAGGCTCAGGGCTGGGGCATGGAGTTGGGGAGCAGGAGGGGGTGAGGGCTCCAGCTGGGAGTGCAGGCTCTGGGGTGGGGCTGGGGATGAGGGGTTTGGGGTGCAGGAGGGGGCTCCAGGGTGGGGCCGATGGACTCAGAGTGTGGGAGGGGGCTGCAGGTTGAGGCATGGGGTTGGGGTGCAGGGGGCTGAGGGCTTGCGGGGGGGGGGTCACATGGGCTGTTAGCTGAGGTTTGGTGGGGAGTCATGGGGCCTGTTAGCTGGGTTGTCAGGGATGGGTCACGAGGCCTGTTTGCAGGGTGAGTTTGCTGGATGGGGTGTCATGGGGTCTGGTAGCTGAGTGAAGCGAGGGAAGGGGGGTCACGGGGCCTGGTAGCTGGGTTGCAGGGGCAGTGGGTCCCGGGGCCTGGTTTTTGGAGGGGGCTGGAGGTGTTGTGGGGCCTGTTTGTGGGGTTTTTGTTGGGTGGAGGCACAGGCAGCCCCCCCAAGCACTGAGGGGCTCACCAGGCAGCCCCTGCCTAGCCTCTGCAGCTCTGAGGTGGGGCCGCCGAAGATGGGAAATAGGCCAGAGAAGCCCAGGCGGCGGGGGGGCAGGGAGGGTGTTATCCTCCCTGCCCCCCCCTCAGAAAAGAGGACCCCAACCCTCATTTTTCCCAGCAGCCTCCTTTCCAGGTACCCTGCTTGCCCCCAGTTCCCCTCCTCCCCCAACCCAGTCCCCCCTTACCATAAGAACGGCCATACTGGGTCAGACTAAAGGTCCATCTAGCCCAGTATCCTGTCTACCGACAGTGGCCAATGGCAGGTACCCCAGAGAGAATGAACAGAACAGAGAATCATCAAGAGATCCATCCCCTGTCGCCCATTCCCAGCTTCTGGCAAACAGAGGCTAGGGACAGCATCCCTGCCCATCCTGGCTACTAGCCATTCATGGATCCATCTTCCATGAACTTATCTAGTTCTTTTTTGAACCCTGTTATGGTCTTGGCCTTCATAATATCCTCTGGCAAGGAGGTCCACAGATTGACTGTGCCTTGTGTGAAAAAATACTTTCTTTTGTTGTTTTAAACCTGCTGACTATTAATTTCATTTGGTGACCCCCCCAGTACGTGTGTGTTATGAAATCACAGAATATCAGGGTTGGAAGGGATCTCAGGAGATCATCTAGTCCAACCCCCTGCTCAAAGCAGGACCAATCACCATTTTTTGCCCCAGATCAACTGAACAGTCCCCTCAAGGATTGAACTCACAACCCCGGAGACAGAGTAAATAACACTTCCTTATTTACTTTCTCCACACCAGTCATAATTTTATAGACCTCTATCGTATCTCCCCTTAGTTGTCCCTGTTCCAAGCTGAAAAGTCCCAGTCTTATTAATCCCTCCTCATACGGAAGCTGTTCCATTCCCCTAATCATTTTTGTTGCCCTTTTCTGAACCTTTTCCAATTCCAATATACCTTTTTTGAGATGGGGCGACCACATCTGCACGCAGTATTCAAGATGTGGGCGAACCATGGATTTATACAGAGGCAATATGATATTTTCAGTCTTATTATCTATCCTTTTCTTAATGATTCCCAACATTATGTTCGCTTTTTTGACAGCCGCTGCACATTGAGTGGATGTTTTCAGAGAACTAGCCACAGTGACTCCAAGATCTTTCTTGAGTGGTAACAGCTAATTTAGACCCCATCATTTTATAGGTATAGTTGGGATTATGTTTTCCAATGTGCATTACTTTGCATTTATCAACATTAAATTTCATCTGCCATTTTGTTGCCCAGTCACCAGTTTTGAGAGATCCTTTTGCAGTTCTTCACAGTCTGCCTGGGACTTAACTATCTTGAGTAGTTTTGTATCACCTTCAAATTCTTCCACCTCACTGTTTACCCTTTTCCAGATCATTTATGAATATGTTGAACAGTACTGGCCACAGAACAGACCCCTGAGGGACACCACTATTTACCTCTCTCCATTCTGAAAACTGACCATTTATTCCTACCCTTCGTTTCCTATCTTTTAACCAGTTACCAATCCATGAGAGAACCTTCCCTCCTATCCCACGACAGCTTACTTTGCTCAAGAGCCTTTGGCGAGGGGCTTTCTGACAGTCTGAGTACACTCTATCCCCTGGATCCCCCTTGCCTGGGCTGCTGGTACCTCCGTTGGGCTGGTGGCCCTCGCACACCTCGTAGATCTTGTAGGGCTGCATGGGCGTGTCCTTTGTGCCGTCGTAGATCAGCTTGAACTCGCGGCTCTTGTTGAGGGCACAGCGCAGGTTGGCTTTCCACTTGGCTGGGTCCGGCTCATCTACACCTTCATTGTACTTGCCAGTCTCCTTGGCCCAGGCCTGAGAGGTTGGGATTCATGGGGTAGGGGGGTGGTCACAGACATAGGTCAAGCCCCAGCCCAGCCCCAGTGCTAGGAGCTCAGGAAATCCAAGCTTTCGCCTGTATGGTCAGTTGATTAAAGTTTCATTCCTGAGCTGCCATCGGCTGAGCGATGACAAGGGGCAGCCAGGGGGTGGCCTGGGGAGAAGGCAGCTCGGAGATGCTCTCCTGACACAACGTATAATTCACTGGCAGGCCAGCACCAGGGCCAGAGCCTGTGTCGGCTTCTGCAGTGACACCGGCTGGCATAAAACGCCACGGGCTTCCGGGCCTGGCTGACAGCAGCACATCACCCCTCGCAGCTGCGTCCACAGGGCAGTTCAAAAAGGGGTGCGGACATCACGCCTCCTGCTGCGAGGCTGGTACGATCGGCCCCATTTCACAGGGGGGAAAACAGGCCTTTTCAAACACCTCAAGAGGCGGCTAACTGAGCGGCCTGGTGGCTAGTCCCATGCAGCTAGCAGGGTGCATTCTGGGACACCAGGGGGTTATGCCATCCCATGAGCCTCCCATCCCAAGGGGGCAGAGGGACCCATAGCCTGCCCCAGTGCAGCAGCTCCTGGGAGTCCCAGTTGGGGTCACGTCGCATTGCGCGCATGACCAGCCAACCCCGTTCCTTACATGTCAGCTGGGTGCCATGTGCCCCAAAGGGTACCCCCAGCCCAGCCTGGCATCCCACAGGCCCCCTGGGCGGTCACCTTGAAAACGGTGTTCTCGTCGTCCTGTGTGGGGACGTGCCGGGTGGCGTGGCGCCAGGGGATGCAGAAGAGCTTGCGCTCGGGGTTCACCCACTGCAGGCCTGGGTACTGGTTGCTGTTCACTTGGGCGATGAGCCAGGGCTTCAGGCGGATGCGACGGGGATGCGCGTTCATGGCAACTCACGGCCCGCAGGGCCACGTCGGCCACTAGCCTGCAGACAGAGAGAGGGAGAGTCTGTTACAGGGCCAGGTACCCAGGGGAGAGGGCAGAGCTAAGGGGGAAGGAATGAGGGGAGGGGGAAGGGCAGGGATAATAGTGGGGGGGAGGCAGAGTCCTCCCTTCCCCGTTCTTCACAGACCCCCAGATCTGTCAGGCTGGAAGGGACCTCAAGAGGTCACCAAATCCAGCCCTCTGCGCTGAGGCAGGACCAAGTAACCCTGGACCATCTCTGATGGGGGTTTGTCCAGCCTGGTCTTCTTTCTTTATTCAAGTCAATTTTATTAAATCGCCCTCTGACTAAGGCGAAGATTTGGTCCCCGATATTTTTAGTAAAAGTCACGGACAGGTCACAGGCAATAAACAAAAATTCACGGAAGCCGTGACCTGTCCCTGATTTTTACTAAAAATATCCGTGACAAAATGGGGATCTGTGGGTGCCCACACCGCCTGCAACGGGGCAGCTGCACGGCGGCTAGGAGCTCCCACCGCGGACTGCGTGTCGGCACTCCAGGGTCCCCCACTGTCCATGGCTGGGAGCTGCTGGGGCCCCCGCCGCCTGCAGCAGCCAGGAGCTCTGGGGTGCCCCTGCTGCCCGTACTCCGGGAGCCCGCGGCGGCCGGGAGCTCAGGGGTTCCCCACCACCCACGGCGTCCAGGAGCTGTAGGGTACCCCCACCGCCTGCAGCAAGCTTGGAGCTCCGGGGGCCGCTAGAGGTGATGGGGGTACCTTAAAGCTCCCTTTCCCGCGCGGGCAACAGGGGACCCTGCAGCTCCCCACCACTGCGGGCTGAAGTCCCAGAGGTCGCTGGAGGTCATGGATTCCGTGACTTCCGCAACCTCCGTGACTAAATCGTAGCCTTACCTATGACACGTCTGCTGCGAATACAAAAAGACAAACCTACAAATCTAAAGTAACCACATCTATATCCACGTTTCTCAACCTTTTCGATACCATAGACGGGCTTGCTGCCTTCCTAAACTGTGTCAGGGGGATCTCAGGGACGGGCGCCGGTCCATGAACCGGTCGGTGAGAAACACTGATATACATGATCCATTAAAATGTCAGTCAGAGCCTAATAAAAACTCTCTTCTTCAGCACAATGCTAAAAGGGCAAAGATTGCCACTGATTTGATTACTGCCAGCGACTGAGAAGAAACTAAAAACATCCTTGGAGATGGTGATCAAAGCTCGTTTCCTGCACAAGAGGTAAAATCCCGCGTGCTCTCAGAAGCTGGAAAATTCTAAAATCCAAAAGAGAGTGAGGTAGGTCCTCCAGCACTCCAGATTTACATCGGCAAAGCCAAAGATGTGAAGGAACTTCTCAACAGCTTGAAGGACAGCAGTTTCCATGGTTTGGAATCTTAGCTGAGTCTGTGCCTTAAGCAACAGGGGTTTGAGAACTCACTCAAATATAGTTCAAAGACATAGGCCATCTTCAAAGGAAAAAACCAAAAGCAAACTTGGAATCATGAGTCATAGCCAGATATTCTTCTTGAGTATGGGCTGTCATGTTCTGTTTGAGCAGCTGATGATATCAATTAAAAGATATTGACAATAAAGTGAGTAGCAGAAAAAGCCAACATAGCTGTGATAAATTGGCGAGTGTTATACCATGGAAATAAGGAGCACACAGGTTGTTCCTCCATCTCCTGGAGGCAAAGAAGGGGCAATTTATAATCTGGAAGGGGACAGATTTTAAACCAAAATATAAGAAAAGCAATGCAAGCTCTACTAATTACAGAAAGAACACCCAGCTTGGCATGTAAAAACAAGGCAGGGGTAGACTTTGGGAGAAATAAAAGTCTCCTCAAAAAAATATTTTGAACAATCTCTAAGGCCAAAATTTGTCCCCTTAACCAAATTTCAACCCCATAGATGACCTGGAATATTATTTTTGCATTAAAAATTCTTAGTGCCAGGGGCAACTCTGTTCCCACCATATGAGCATGTAAAACGGAGCAGAGCTAAGGGCCTTTTGGTTTAAGTCTTTATGACAAGGGGACCAGTGGTCCGAATGATAAAACTTTATCCCTAACTAAGTAAAAGCAGAGACTTGTTCCACAGGGTGGCCTTCCTAGCTTCCACTCAATTTGCAGAGGGGTTCTTCCCCAAAATCATGACCTTGACCTTATAATTTAGTTACAGTGAGAGTTACCATGAGAGGGAAAACGAGAAAATAACTGGGGGAGTTAGTGATAAAACAACCCCATCATCAGCATACAATGACTCTGGGATAGGTCGACCCTTAATTTGTGGCAGAGAAAAATTATCTTCCATTAAAACATCCACCACTTCATTAATATGTAAATTGAAAAGAGGAGGAGCAAGAAGGCATCCTGGGCATACTCCCCTAGAAACAAGGAAAATGTTGATTTTAGTTCTGACCCTGATAGCCATATTGCCCTGGGCTAGAGACTCCAAACGAGTTGAAAGTCTCGGATTGTAATGTAAATATCAGAAAGGTTCTGTTGGCAAAAGGAATACACATTAATGCACTGGACATAATGAAGAAACATTCAGACTCCCCTGAAGTGGCTAAAAGTGCCTGCAAAATGGTGAGTCATGTTTTTGAAGGAAGGTAAGATATACCTAGTAATGTGGGATCATGTGATGTTCTAGTACAGGTTTTAAGACATATTTAAATAATTGACAGTTAGTTATTTACTTCATGTAGGATGAAAATTTACTGTAGAGCAGAAGTCACGTAGAAGATTCTGATTCAACAAGATTATGAGTCAGCAGTGTGCCCTTGTTGCCAAGAAGGCCAATGGCATTTTGGGATGTATACGTAGGGGCATTGCCAGCAGATTGAGGGACGTGATCGTTCCCCTCTATTCGACATTGGTGAGGCCTCATCTGGAGTACTGTGTCCAGTTTTGGGCCCCCCACTACAAGAAGGATGTGGATAAATTGGAGAGAGTCCAGCGAAGGGCAACAAAAATGATTAGGGGACTGGAACACATGACTTATGAGGAGAGGCTGAGGGAACTGGGATTGTTTAGTCTGCGGAAGAGAAGAATGAGGGGGGATTTGATAGCTGCTTTCAATTACCTGAAAAGGGGTTCCAAAGAGGATGGATCTAGACTGTTCTCAATGGTAGCAGATGACAGAACGAGGAGTAATGGTCTCACGTTGCAGTGGGGGAGGTTTAGATTGGATATTAGGAAAAACTTTTTTACTGGGAGTGTGGTGAAACACTGGAATGCGTTACCTAGGGAGGTGGTGGAATCTCCTTCCTTTGAGGTTTTTAAGGTCAGGCTTGACAAAGCCCTGGCTGGGATGATTTAATTGGGGATTGGTCCTGCTTTGAGCATCTATTGGACTAGATGACCTCCTGAGGTCCCTTCCAACCCTGATATTCTATGATTGTTACCCATCCTTCTTAATGTCTCCCAAAGTTTGCCTTGATCAATAGAACCAAATGCCATCTTTAGATCTAAGAAAGCAACACACACTGTAGCACCCTTAACCTCCATATATTTATAAATCATATAGGATAAAATAAAGCAATTATCAATTGTGGCCCTACCCGCCCTAAAATTGGACTGCTCTGCCTGTAATAAATTAGCCTTGAAAGCCCCTATTTCAAGTTGAGATATTAAACATCTGGAGTACATTTTCTCTGACACATATAACCAGCTAATAACTCTACATGAAGCAGGATTCTTTCTAGCCCTGTTTTAAAAATAGGAACGACAAGACTGGATATCCAGCCAGCCAGACAGAACCCATCCAATTTGGTTAATGACGGTAAATAATTTAGCCAAAGACTGGGGAGAACCAATTAAGATTCTCCTGAAAAACTTCCATCAGGAGAAAATCTTCCCCTGAAGCTGCAATTCTCTGTCCATTTCGGAAGGCCGGAGCGGTCAACCCAAGAGAGGATTCCTCATTGCACCAGCTATGGCAGAAGCAGATGTAAAATTGGTTGAGCGAAATCACTAAGGCCCTGGCCAAAGTGTACTACCTGGGCTTCATCATGAATATGGGGCTCCTCAACTGGAGCGTATCTACCAGCGCTAAAGTTGCCATCTTCCAAAATGGGGAAGAATTTTTAGAATTCGCTTCTGCTTCAAAATCCTTCCACAAGGATCTAAGATATTCTTGGGAGGCGTCTCATATAATAAACCTTTATATCTTCTTCTGGCCTCTACTACATCCTGAAATAAATGAGGGGAGGGATTTCATCTTACCCACGAGAACAGACTTTTCCTTCACCGTCCGCATCAAACCAAGTGCGCAATCTCTGGAAGCATTTAGAATAGCTAAAACCAAAGTCAACTTGTCTAGAGACAAGTGGTTGTACAGATTTCACCAGCAGCTCATATTATTCACAAATTTGAGAGCAATTCTCAGACTTAATAATTATATCTCAGAGATCTAACAAGCGAGTCCTCCAATCTCCTCAATGATTGGTCATGAATGGCCAGGGTCCATTTTAGTCTATTACAACCACTTTGGTCCACAGGGGTAATTAAAGCCTGCTTCTCCCATCAGAAATACAGCTCTCCCTAGAAAGAGCACACCAGTCTTAATTATAGAGCAAGGCTGGTGGGTCACTAGCCTGTCCCTAAAAACCTCCAGTGACGGGGATTCCACCACCTCCCTTGCAAGCCTGTTCCAGAGCTTCACTACCCTGAGAGGTAGAAAGTTCTTCCTAATATCAAACCCAAGTCTGCCCTGCTGCAGATTAAGCCCTTAGTCCTTATCCTACCATCAGTGGACATGGAGAACAAGTGATCCCCGCCCTCTTTATAACAGCCCATAATAGGTGTGAAGACTGTTCTCAGGTCCCCCCTCAGGCTTCTTTTCTCAAGACTAAACATGCCCCGTGTTTTAACCTCTCCTCACAGGTCAGGTTTTCTGTTGCACTTCAGGAAGGATGTGGACAAAGTGGAGAGAATCCAGAGGAGAGCGACGCCCAGCGCTGGACACAGGACTCCAGCGGAGTCCTCGCCAGTGCCGAGCAGAGCAGGACAGTTGCTGCCCATG